AAAGGAGAGCACGTGACAATGCCTGAGGCGGCCAGAGTCAGCAGTGGCCACAGGACAGCCCGCATCTACCCAGTGCCCAGCACCGCGGCTATACCAGCAGGGCTCAGGGTGTGGTTGCTCACTTCAGGAAACTGCATGAATTAATGAACTGGCAGCATGGGCTTGAACATGGGCTCGAAAGCCTGGCCCCACCAGCCGCTTTGGGCAAGTTGCCTGAGTTCTTTGAGGCCTGAGTGAGCTGTTACTCTTAGGTCAGAATGACTTTTAGAACGCTGCAAGGTGTGGGGGGAAGCCTTCGTGTTTCTTTCCAACATCTTTCTGGAGGGTGGAATGCATTTCTCTTCAGTGGGACATTTATGTACATCACATGAATCCAGTCCTGGTTGGCTGGAGGTACACTTGGAGGAGTTGGCCAGCTCCTGGGGACTTTACGCAGTAAAGACTTTAGGAACTGCGGCCCGTTGTGTCTTTCCTAGCCTGGCCTGGCCAAGGGCGTGAGGCCTCCTGGCCAGCTCATTTGCATTTCCTTCCTCTTCCACTGGCCACAGGAACCTTCACCCGTCTGTCAGCGCTTCCAATCTCCCTCACCCCGGAATGAACGGGGCATGGAGTGGAGGCACCGGGCCTGGGCCTTGTCTCCAAACGGACACTGCTGTTCCCTGATGTTTCTGTCTCCCATGGTGGCTCTGAAAGGAGCAGTGTGTGTGTGTGTGTGTGTGTGTGTGTGTGTGTGTGTGTGTGTGTGTGTGTGTGTGTGTGTGTGTGTGTGTGGCACCATTTATAAACACTGCTACCTCTTGCAGTTGTTCCAAGCTCCTCCACCTGCCACAGGAGCTTCCTGCACACCAAGTCCCCTGTGCCGTGTGTGTACCGTGTATATGCTTACCCTTCCAGCGGCCATTCATCCAATCCTGTCTCTCAGGTCAAACCCCCAACCTTCTCCATCTCTTCAGGACAGAAGGCCGCAGCGTGGGTCTGTATCTCAGGCCATGTCTCCCAGCCCTGGGAGCTACAGTCTGAGATCAGGGTCTGCAGAGAAGGCTCTTCACCCGGTGACTTGTGTTCAGACCCCTCCTTTCTCCCTGGTCCTCACGCCAGCCTCCCCCTGTGCATCTGGGCTCTGGCCGCCTCCTCTGAGGAGGACGGGGCAGCCCGGGGACTTCCTTCCCTTCCACGACCCCATCGTCACATTCTGTGGTCCACAGATGAGGACTTCAGTGTGGGGATTAGAGGAAATGCAACGTAGCCCTCAGCACCAATGGTTGAATTATCCGAGGCTGTCTGCCACCTGTCACCTCCCACTGAGATGGATGCACGCAGCTCCCTGGCATTCCAGGGCCCCTGTCAGCCACCTGCGGCCAGTCTCAGGGGCCTCCCATGTAGAGGGGACACTTTTGTTCTGCAGCTCTGTCTCTATTGCTATGATGGTGGTGGGTGGACAGTAATTTTGGAGTAAAGTACCAAGCCATGTGAGTCTTGTAGGGCCTCTCTTTGGAGCCCTGTGGGGACAGGCCACACCCCCCGCAGTGGTGGGCTGGGGTGGGGCAGGGTCCTCAGGCCCATGGAAGTGTCGTTGGGGTGCTGGCTGCCTCCCTGCTTGGTGTAGCTGTCAGATCCTCCAGGCAGACAGGCTACAGGATGTATGCACAGAGAGACTTCCTTCAAGAGGCCCCTTAAACCATTGTGCAGGCCAGTTTGATCCGTGGTGGTGGGTCCCAGCTGTGCACCCCTGGAGAAGCAGGAAAGCATTACAAGGGTTCAGAAGGGTGGCAGAAGGCAAGAAGTTGTACCTCACAGCAGCGGACAATGGTCTCATGTCTTGTCTGAGTAGCCCACAAAACTCGGAGACCTCGGACAACACGACGTCTTGAGGACTCACATGGAACGTAGCCCGGGGCAGTGAAATACTTATCTAAATGTGAAATATTTATCTAAATGAAGGGATCTCTTGGGGCCAATCTTTGATCTCTCCATTGACCAGAGACCAAATGGGATTTACGTGCGGGAGAGTCACCTGGTGATTCTGTGATAGATAGATGAGTTACGCCACACGGTGAGGAACAGAAAACCTCCCTGACAGAGGCAAACAGGATTTACTTTCCACAGATAGCCCAGATGTCTGGAAGTGGGTCTCTGAGATAGGAGGGTCAGCATCTTGGAGTCTGTCTTGGCCTCATGGTCACAAGGGGCTGTTGCAGCTCTAGACATTACATCCTTGTTCAGAGTAGGAGAGACCAGAAGAGTAGTGTGGGTAGATAGCTGAGACCATGTGTAGTTATTCTCTTTTATGAAAGCATAAAGATCTCCAACAGATCTTGGCTACAACTGTGGCTCTAAGCGCATGTGTCACAGATCTCATTGTTACCTTGGAGAAAACTGTGCAACAATAAAGGAGAAAGGACAGGGGGTGTGGATTAAAAGTCACTTATCTATGGTTAAAAGTCAAGTGTGTGAGCCACGCACCCACCAGCAGCTTACACCTGCAATCCTAGCTACCCAGGTGGCTTAAGATCTGAGAATTATGGCTTGAAGCCAGCCCAAGCAGTAATGTCTGACAATCTCCTATTAACCGCCAAAAAGCTGGATGTGCAGCTGTGGCTCAAGTGGTAGAGTGCCGATCTTAAGCACAAAGGCTCAGGGACAGCACCTGAGCCCTGAGTTCAAGTGCCAGGACTGGCACACACACATACACGCGCATACACACACAGCCTAATTATTTGAACAATGACAGCCTGCTCCCTCTCATTAATAACCACATCAATTCTAATTTCCTCCCTATGGCTGTTTCCCAGAATCTTGCTTCTGCAAGAAAATGGATGTCTTTGAACGAGAGGCTGCAGCTGGTTCCTCATCCAGTAGTTCACTGAGAGCCAGTCCAGCAGAGGTAGAGGTGGGGAGGCTCAGAGATGGGTCTGCCCAGCGTCTGCCCTGGGACGGGCAAGGGAAGAGCTGTAGCCTTTCCGGGAGCTGAGGCGGGAGGGGCTTTCCAGGCTGTGTGACCTGGCTCTGTGCTCCTCTGTCACCGGCCCCTGGTTGAAGATGATAGTCCTGAGACGGAGGAGTGTCCACCACGCCTTTGCCTCTGAGGCTGGTGGCTTTGCCCAAGGCTTGCTCTAGTGGTGTTCCCCTATGGACAGGGGCTCTGGGCAGCCACTGAGGAGCCCTGGTACCGCCGAGGCCTCGTCTTCCCCCTGAAGGTGGAGGCTCGTCGGTCCTGGACGGAGCTGCTCCAGGTGATGAGTGACTCTCCTTCCCGGTCCTCCGTCCAGTGCTCAGAGCACCCGTTTGGGGTTCTGGTGCCTGCAGACCTGGAGGTTGGCTCCGCAGACCTGTTTCTCAGGGGCAGAGCAGCTGACTGAGCGAGTTTTCCCCTCGGGGGACGTGGGTGGATAAGGAGGCCCCCGCTGCCTCCCCGGGGCCAGGCAACGGTGGCCCATGGCAGCAGATTCTGCTATGGTGCACTTCCGGAAGTGGAAGTCCAGCGTGCAGGCACCCAGGAAGGAAACAACCCCCAGGCCGGAAGGAGGAAGGCTGAAGCCTTGTCTGTGGATGTGTGCAGGGCTAGTCCCTCCCACCCCCGCTGCCGTGTCCCTCCCCCCCCAGGGCCTGCTGCAGCTCATGCTCAACCTGGCCAAGTAGAGGCTTTGCCCCAGGTTCCCCGGCCTCCTCCCTCTGCATGTCTTCACCCTTCCTCGACTGAGGACAGTTCTTGCCATTTAACTTAGGACCTACCCTACTTCAACATGGCTCCACTGGGCCCTTGCCTGTACCCCGCAGTCTTCCTCCACAGGAGCAGCTGTAAGGAAAACACCCCACACTGGGTGACGTACACGGCAGACTTGTATCCGTCACTGTCCAGAGGTCAAGGGGACAGCGTCTTTGGGCCCTGCCAGGCTCTTCCAGGCTGCACATTGCTAAACTGCCGCTCTGATCTCACATGGTGACAGATCAGCAGCTCTGCAGAGCACCCTGAAGCTCAGAGAAGGCAGCTGACAAGCCCAGGGTCACAGAGCAGATAGGACTGAAGCCTGGGTTAGATTGGCTGCAGAGCTCAAACTGTTCTCTGTGCATCTGACTTGCTGCCAGACCCTGTCTCAACTCAGTGCGTTGGCCTTGTCTGCTCTTTTTATTTGCTGTTGGCCAGGTAGACTTCCCATCTCCCAGCCCTGCCTGGCCCAGGAGGAAGTGGGACCCATGGACACTGTCCTCAGGCCTCAAGGGGCCACAGGCAGAGGCCATCCTCCTGACCCCTGGACCAGCCTTCTCAGCTCGGTGTTGCTGGGGAGCAGAGCATTTCTTAAATGCCGCATGCAAACCCTCAGTTCCCTTGGCCAGGCCCAAGGGGCCAATGAATCAGGTGCTCCCCCCTCCCCGGCTCCTGGCCATTTGCCCCCACACGCCTCTTTTAATAAACCCAAACTTTCCAGCTCCATGAATCTCTTTATTTCTTGTCCTCCAAGCCAAACTTCTAAGCACTGGTGGTGTCTTCTTCAGCTCTACCCGGAAGCCGGAATTAATTTTAAAGAGTCTTCTCCGCCTCTAAGCCACCTCTGGGCTGAGGTGACACCCCTACAGCTCTCCCAGAAGCCTCTGTCCGTTGTTGACAGACGAGCCTCTTGCTCTCTCTCTCTGAGCACTGCAGACTGTAACCTCAGCCTCGGCTTTCAGGCTGTGGAGTGAGCTGGGCCAGGGGTCCTGCCCCACGTGCACACACGTCCCAGGGCCTTGCTCCGCAGGTGCCTTTGCTGGTTTCCTCCTGACTGTGGTTCCTGGAGCGACTCCCCCGTGTTCGAAAGCCAGCCCTCCAGGAACAGAGTTAGCGAAAGGGTGAACGTCTGATAAAGATAAAGATCTTTCAGCCTAGCCAGCTCTGGCTGCTCTGCCTGCAGGTTGTCAGAACAGAGCTGACCCTGGGTGTAGGCACCCAGTGAAGGCTTGACTTGCCCTTTCCTTTTCCTTCACATGTTGCCTGAATGCTCTCCCCTCCGGCTGTCGCCCAGGTATGCATCGTGCAGAAGCGAGACACAAAGAAGATGTACGCGATGAAGTACATGAACAAGCAGAAGTGCATCGAGAGGGATGAGGTGCGGAATGTGTTCCGGGAGCTGCAGATCATGCAAGGGCTGGAGCACCCGTTCCTGGTCAATCTGTGGTGAGTGCCGCCCTCCTGCGGTGAGCCCCTCCTCAGCTCCTCCCCAGGCCAGGCCACGCTGGGCCATGTCCCAGGCTCGTGCGCTCTCGAGTAGTGTAAGTTTTCTGATGGAAACTTTAGTGTGCAGGGTGCTGGTGGGTCACGCCTGCAATCCTAGCTACTCAAAAGGCTGACTGAGATCTCAGGATCTCGGTTGGAAGCCAGCCCAGGCAGGAAAGCCCATGACACTCTTATCTCCTATGAACCACTAGAAAATCGGAAGTGGTTCTGTGGCTCAAAGTGGTAGAGCGCTAGTCTTGAGTGAAAAAGCTCAGGGACAGTGCCCAGGCTGTGAGCGCAAGCCCCATAACTGACAAAAAATAAACAACAACAAAGCGCGTCCGTGTGCGCTTCACTTCCCTTGTACTACAGCTCTCATCTCCTGCCTGATAACCGGGCTGGAAGGGAATGAGAGAAGGCCTGCGCATATTGGGAAAAGCAGTGGGTTATTTCATGACAGTGCCGAGTTGAGCCATCTGTGGGGAGCCTAACTTTTTAGAAAGCCCCACCCATCACGTCGGTGGGCACAGGGAACCCATGGGTCACTCCACATAGCCTGGAGGAGGGAAATTGCCAGTCTGGCTCACACATCCATGTTCCAGAACATTCTCTCCATCACATCCTGGACTATTGTCTCTACTCCACATTGTATTCTCGAGTGATGGCTCTCCATCCCTGGGTCTTTGCACATCCTGACCCCGTCTCCCCCAAGGTCTCCTCGGTCCTCCTGTGCCCTTCAGGTGGGATTTCCTGTTTGCAGGCTCCACCTTTCACAGTGTCCATACAGGACAGCCTTTACCAGGACGCACCCTAATTATTGATGGGTGCACTTACCTGTACTCAGCAAAGCCTACATCCCAAAGCAGGGCTGTTTCTTAGCATTGTTTCTGGAGTCTGGCACAGCATTTGGCATATGGGAAGCCCTGGAGTAAAGGGCACCTGAGTGTGGTGTGGTGGAAGGGGTGAGGAGGGGCTGTGTCCAGAAGCTCAGCTGACTCTGGAACCTTCTGAGCAGCAAGGCGGCCCAGATGGGACATCAGCATGTCCCCATTGCTCATTGTCACCAATGATGCCAGCGGCTCCTTAAGCCTTGCGTGGAGAGAGGAAGGTCTTCTATCTGAGACCAAGGCAGGCGTGGCGCATGCTCCAGACACAGGCATTTCCCTCTCCCTTTCTCCCTCTTCCTCTCTCTCTCTCCCTCCCCCCCCTCTCTGTGAAAACCCATACCAGATGTGGTACCGCAGTGTCTGAGTAGCATCACTCAGCTCTCTATGCATCCAGGCAACGAGCCAACACCTCTATCACTTGGAGAAATAACCTTTGTGTTATGATTGCTTGACAAGAGCACTCTTTACAAATAACTTTCTGATCAGAAAAGACAGCAAGTAAAGTACCTTTTAAAAAAGCAACAGTTATCCCCAATCCCACCATGGCTATTCAAGTCTTCATCCACTTTTTTCTTGAATTTTTGTGTCAGTGATGTGATTGTGTATGTCATGGGTATAAAGTACATGCATAGCCATTTTGCACTTAACCCTTTCAAATGAGTAGTCTGGTGGCGCGCTGTCTCCCCACAGCAAGTCTTTGCAGGCTGTTTTCGAGCAGGTGATGCTCTTCTGGGTGCAAACACATGGAGCCATCTACGGCTCACCCGTCATCTGGGTTCCTTAGGCCTGGGTCTCTGGTCATTTGCCAGTTGGGGTTCTGCCAAAAGGGCCAGCCCTGAGCCACATCTTTCCAGGGGATAGTGTTGTGCAGCATGTCCATGAGGACATGGAGAGTTGGGTTCTAGGACACCTGTGCAGGTTTGTGACCAGTGCCTGTGTCTCACACAGAGTGCTGGCTAAAGCAGATGAGTCTTCGCAAATATTGCTTTTAATGACACTGCATTGCCATTATATGCCAGAAAGGAGCAAACCTATGGCTTGCTTTTAGGGTCACTGGGCCTCAGTTTCCTCCTTGTTAATGTACATAGTAACTCTATGCTGGTGAGTTTTGAGAATTAATGGAAAGATATGAAACTGTGTTTTATGTAAAGGATAATACTGCTTACTGAAAGAGTATGTACACACATGTACATACATGTGTATATATGTTGTGTATGAATATATGTGATAGATGGATGATAAATATATAATATATACAAGGAACTAGAGAAATGGATGAGTAGATAACAGTTGATTTTCTCACTTGCCATCCACTCTGTCCTGGGCAGGAGCCTTGTCTCCTTCTCAGGGGCAGAACTGTGCTGTAAGCAGCTCCTTACCTGCCTGCTCCACCTGAGCTGATCCAAGCTCAGGCCAGCCCGCCCCGCCCTGCTGTCCTCAGTCTCTTCCCGGGAGGTGGCTGTTCACATGTACCTGGTATTGATAGGTCTCTTGTGTAATTTCTTTCCTCTTAATGGACTTATCTATTACTCTATTCATTTCACAGATGGGCAACCAAGTCATGACACTCTTAAGTAGAAGAGGTGGGACTTGAACCTGGGATTTGAAGTTATCTGACTTCATAACATCCTCATACACCCCTCCCCGGTTTCTCTCTGCTGCCTCCCTCACCCCTGTTTGACAGCTGCTCAGGGTAGAAGCCCCTGCTTGGTTCACAGGAACACCATCCGCTTGCGTTGTTTCTCTCAGCTTCCTGCATGTCACACAGAGTGAGTGATTGCAGCCGTGGAGCGCGTGACTCTCCACCTTCTCATTCTTCTTCCCTGGTGACACGTTCCATCGTAACCGGCCCAGGCAAAGGTCACATCGATCAGTTCTCCTGACGGTCTGGCTCCTGAGGAATGCATGGCTGCGCTCCACAGCCTGAGATAACCCCAGTCGAGTGTCAAGTGTAATATTCTCACCTGTTCTCACACGGAGCTGTTCTGCTCTCTTGAGACTAAGACAACCACAGCAAAGGGGAAAGGGGAAAAAATCATACTTCAGAGAATGAGGGCAGAGCCCTGTCTTCAGCAAGCCCTGCTAAGGGGCAGTGGGAGAGAAGAGTGCAGGGGAGGGGAGAGAGGCATCTTGATTCTCTGCTTGGAGTCTGACCTCCTGGGCTCCAGTCCCACCGCTTGCCAACAGAAAGGTGGCAAAGCATGTGCCCACTCACGGTTATATGCCCAAGCACCCACTTTCCATGATGAGGTTTAGGAACCAGTTACCGCTGAGGGAGTCATGGGGAGGCCCCAAAGGAAGGCCCTGTGGTCTCTGAAGAAGAGGGAAAAGGAGGAGGAGGAGAGTGGAAGAGGTAGGGGAAAGAAGGAAGAAAGGAGGGAGGGAGGCAGGAAAGAAGAACGGGAGGGGAGAAGGGGGGAAAGAAGGGAGGGAGGGAAGGAGGGAGATTAGATAGAGAATGCAGTAAGAAAGTTGTCTGCAGCCTAGAAATAGAGGAAGCATGTTCTCACCAGAGCTGGGCCGTGCTGGCTCCCTGGCCTGGGAACGCCAGTGTGGGCTTGTGAGCTGCAGCTCACCTCTGTGGGGCGGTGGTGTTTGTGTGGCAGCCTGAGCAGCCACCTTGGGGGCAGGCTCATTTGTTCCCAGTGTCTGTGACATCACAGTGCCAGGCTCCAGTCCGACGCTGGGGGACCTTCTGGGTCCCGCCCCATGAAGGGTCTCCGTGGTTAATGGGGCACTCGCGTTTGACCTTTGAGGCTGGCTCTGGCTGGCTGGGTACCGTGGGCTCCAGTCACTTCTTGTCTCTATTTGGGGGCATTAAATCCACTCACACGTGCGCTCCCACTGACTTCAGTTTTAGTACCAGACTCTGAGTCTGACTGAGTGTTGGGGGTGGAGAACTTGTTCGTGTTTTGGGGCTGTTCAGAATTCTTTCCCACTTACCTCAGGCTGTTTCATGAAACGTTTTGTTTTAAATTGTGTGAGAGAGACATCCACTGCCATCTGCTGTCAAAACAAGTATAAGAGTGAGTACCTGGCCAGATAGGGTGACAGCGACACCTGAAGCCAGTGTAAGTATTTCTCAAAGCAATCGTATGTTTCTAGAACCTTCTTTGAGTGGTGATGGAAGAAACTGATACATGGGTGTCTATGGGCTACTCTAAGACCCTTTGCTTGAAGCAAAATGGTATAAAGTAGGCCAGGTGCCGGTGGCTCACGCCTGTCATCCTAGCTCCTCAGGAGGCTGAGATCTGAGGATTGTGGTTCAAAGTCAGCCTGGGGAGGAAAGTCCATGAGACTCATCTCCAATGAACCACCAGAAAACTGGAAGTGGCTCTGTGGATCAAATGGTAGAGTGCTAGCCTTGAAGAGTTCAGGGACAGTGCCCAGGCCCAGAGTTCAAGCCCCACGATTGACAAAAAAAAATGGAATTAAGTAAAGGCATAAGTGCTGTGTCTGAAGCAGGGGTGCTGTGTCTGAAGCAGGGGTGCCGGGGGAGCGGCTGGGGGTGAACGGAGGCAGAGGCCCCGGCGGGACCGTGGCAAAGGATCTATAGCCCTTCTACAGCCACCGCCAGGTGCCACAGCTTGTTTCCATTGAGGTAACGAGCACCTCAACGTTCGGCCGCAGCCGTCCGTCCCCGTGTGCTCCAGTTGGATCAAATGTCAAAGCTGAGCCTGCTACCTCTAGGGACAAGGCTTCTAGGGGACAAGGCTCCCCTCTGACATTCCACCCACCCATCTCCTGACACCTATCCCTGCCGCCATCTTGGTACAGTGTGTTGCCATACCGAATGATTCGTTGTTATCTGTGGTAAGTCCTGCTGTCCTCACCTCTCCAGGCCCTCACCTATGCCTGGACCTCTGTGAGAACACACTCCCCCCCACATGCATCCATCCACCGCAGAGCGGGTGTTGATTGGACTTCAGTGGCTGTCAGATGCTGTGTATCCTTCCAAGAATTTAGAGGTGATGAGAACCAGGATGGCTTCTGCCCTCTTGGATTCAGAGGTATGGCCTCCTGGAGCCTCTTCCTTGGAGCCTCCTCGGGACTTCCTCTCCCACCCAGTAGTGC